TCTTGCAGAGATTGTCTAAAAGTCCTTATAGATTGGACAAATTTCTGAGGAATGGAAGGAAGATGTAATGGCTGCTGCTGCTGCTCATGTACTAAATATGGATTTTCATTCTCTTCAAACCCCCTAAAGACAAAAATATAGTAAAACATATGTGGGGAGAGGAGAGGAGAGGAGAGGAGAGTGGGGATGCTGTATGAGACATGGGTGCTGGAGTAAGCACTGCTGCCCTAGATCTGGCATGTGAGGGGGAGAGAGCCATGGGCTCAATCCAGCCCATGGACCATCCCAATGCCACTTATTTGGCCTGTGGAGCTGGCTGAGTTTGACACCCCTGCTCTAAATAAAATAAATTTTCAAGGACATTTTCTTCCCAAGACAACTACTTGGAGGATGATCCAAAGACTTTTAGCCTCGCAAAGCCATTAAATTGCAAGGTTTCCTTAAAGCTTGCCACACAGGGAGAAGGAGAAAGAGGTTTTGAAGAATTAAAATCTGAAGTGGTAATGATCTGTCTACATACTAAAATAATGTTCAATTATCATAGTTAGCATATGCATACCTTAAGTAAGGGGATAATTCCAATTAAGTCAATGGTACTTTTCTGATCCTTAGTGCTTTACAGGCTCACAGCCTTAAGAACTGAATATATACCAAGTACTGTCTAATATACAAGACAAGTAAAAGTGGAGAAAGGATACCAGAAAGTATATTTTTTTCTAATCTTTTTTCACTTTTTGTAATTTCCGAGTAGCAAGGGTAGATACTAAACTGGCAGAAAAAGGTGTAATTTTTAATTTGATACAGGGTGCATATACATGTGATGTTTACTGGAGAGTAGACTAATTAGCTCCATAGTAAATATCTTGCATCTACATGAGCAGCCGTGTTAGACCACAGGGAACATTAACTCTTCAGCAGGATAGCATTTCTAAATACAAGTTCTATCCTGCTGCAGAGTTTTTTTGACTGTGTAGCAATGCATGTGAACACGCTGATGCAGCTGGCTAGGGCACAAGGGTGCTTCAGTGCAGGGGCTGGCTAGAGCACAAGGGTGCTTTAGTGCGGGGGCTGGCTAGGGCACAAGGGTGCTTTAGTGCAGGGGCTGTCTGCCAGCCAGCCCTGCACTGGAGTACCCATGTGCCCCAGTCAGCTAGTCCTTAGCATGTTGAGGTGAGTCAGAGCAGCCCCAGGCTGACAAGCTAACACCCCTAGCTCTCTGCCAGCTGAGGCTGCTCCAACCCACCTCAATGTGCTGCAGTCCCAGGTGTACATGTAAATGTGGCATCTGGGAGCAATAAACTCCAGCACAATAAGTGCTGGAATTTATTGCTTAGTCTTAATAGCACATGTAGATGCACCCACTGTCCCCTTAAGTTAGAACAGAGATCAGTGGATGGCAAGAAATGAAAAGTAAGTAGTGCTAAAGTTGCAGTTAAAATGAGAACCTGCATGAGGTCTATTTAAATACATTTTGCTCAGAACAGCTTGCTTGCCAAGACTTTGTTGAGGCCTTTAGTCTTCAGTGAATTGAACAAAGCTATGATGGGAATGGCTATTAGGGCTGCGCGAGGCTTTGGACAGAGCTTAGGATCCAGAGAAGCTTTGGACACTTTGGTGTCCAAGGCAGCACGTCCAGATCGAAGCACTGGCTTCTCTGGGCTTTCTGAAGTGGTTCGGAGCTTCTGAAGCACTTCAGAAAACCTCTGAGCTGCCTCGGAGATCCGGCCATAGGGTATAATGGGGAAAAAATGAAATATCTCAAACTTTGTTGTTTTTTGTCTAATATGGATGACATTTGCAGGAATTGTAGTCTCTGGTGAGAGCATGAAGCCTGCCAACTGACTGTCTTGGGGGATGGGAGACACTGTTGCAGGACTGGCTGCTAAGCTACTGTGTTACCACTTACCAATGAGTCATGACTCACTCAGGGACCAGCTCAATACACAGGACCTAGCTAAAGTAACCAGTTCCTTACTATCAATTAACACCTACAAAACCACAGACTAAGGAGAGGAAATAATCAATACAGACAATCAACTGCCTCAAGACAGAGACAGTCAGTTGCACAAGCACCCATGTCATGAGTTTTGTCTGTCAGCAACTAGGGGTGCAGGGCCCCAGAACCCCCCTGCGCCGATCTCCTCCACAGCTGGCAGGCTTTGTGGCCACAGCAGGAGCTACCACCCCTGCAGCTTTCACCCCATTGCGCCTTAACATACACACTGTCACCCATGTCACAAGTTTTGCTTGTCCACAGCTTGAGGTGCAGTTCCCCACAAACCCCTGCACCGATCTTCTTGAAATGTGGAAGGCTTTTTGGCCCCACCAGGAGCTATCACCCGTGCAGTTTTCACCCTGCTGTGTTGTTACACAGACAAGACAGGAGTTTTGCTTTCAAGAATGTGGGGTACAGTTCACCCAAAACCCCTGCACCAATCTTCTTGAAACTTGGTACACCTTCTGGCCTCACTAGGGGCCACCATCCCTGCAGTTTTCACACCCCTGGGTTGTAATACATACACATGACATGGTTTTGCTTCCAGGAATTTGGGGTACAGTTCCCCCCAATCCCTAAACCAATCTTCTTAAAACTTGGCACACTTCATGCTCTTAGGAGGGGATACCATCCCTGCAAGTGTTATCCAAATCAGACAAAAAACAACAAAGTTATAGATATTTCATTGATTCCCGCAGCCACTTTGCCCAGATCGAAGCAGAAACCCTGTCTGGAGCTCCAGATCGGATCCCTGGCATCTGAAGCAGCCGGATCCAAAGCCAGATTGGATCTCTGCTCACTCGCACAGGCCTAATGGCTATGAGGAAAGACTGCTTGTTAACGGGCATGTCTACATGAGACGCTATGTTGCTGTAGTGACAAGCTGAAGCTACAGCAACGTAGCTGTACATTGCTACAGCAATGTAGCGTCAGCAGGCACTAACTGTGATGCCACTACTACTGCACAGTAGGGTCAGAAATGACTCGTGCACCACTGGGACTACTTTAGCAAGTACGAAATGACTGCACAGTACGGGGGCACATGTGTAGACATGCCCAGTGTGTACCAGATTTTTTAAAG